TTGATAGTTTGGCTTACCTTTTTCTAGATATTCTTCCAATCCCCGACGTCGGGCATCTAATTGTTGTTCTGATAATGAAAATGGCCACTTCCCTGGGAGTCGGGGAAATGTAAAGTTGGCAAACTCTCTCTTCAGGTTCTGGTGTAGGATAGCAAACTCCCGGTACCTCTTGGAGCACAGCTGCCTCCCTGCCATGTAAACATTGTATACCTGGTGAAGGAGAAGAACAAAAGAAATGCAGACTTACTACAAATTAAATCACAGAATCATCCAGTCAGGCTTAGACTGATATTGGTTAGTGCGTTCTGCTATGCACTTAAGAAAACCACTTAAAAATAAGACTTGCTTTTGACAAACATGTATGAAGTTATATGGATAAAAAAGAACTACCCCCTTTTCAAAAGGAGCATGATCTTGTTTTTGTTTTTTGTTTTGAGATGGAGTCTCACTCTGTTGTCCAGGCTGGAATGCAGTGACCCAATTTTGGCTCACTGCAACCTCTGCCTCCCAGGTTCAAGCGATTCTCCTGCCTCAGCCTCCCAAATAGCTGGGATTACAGGCATGCACCACCACACTTGGCTAATTTTTGTATTTTCAGTAGAGAAGATGTTTCACATGTTAGCCAGGCTGGTCTGGAACTCTTGACCTCAGGTGATCCGCCCACCTCGAATAACCACACCCAGCAGGAGGAGCATGATCTTATTTTTGCTATTAAAATGACCTCTAGCATACTTTTAAATATCTTCAAAGGCAATTCTCAATTTTAAGAGTAGATTTCATTTTCAGAAAGTTAAAAGTCATTTGAAGCCAATGTGGTAAATATCGTGAATGAACAAGCAAGAAAATTTGAAGGGAGCTGAAAACCTAGGGTTGATTATAAAGCAATGTAATTGATATTTGTGTGTGACCTAAACTAGCTCTAAAGTTGATTCCAAAGAAAAGGCCTAAAATGATTTAAGCAGGCTGGGCATGGTAGCTCACATCTGTCATTCCAGCGCACTTTGGGAGGCAGATCACTTGAGTCCAGGAGTTCAAGACCAGCCTGGGCAAAATGGCAAAACCCTGTCACTACAAAAAAAAAATACAAAAATTTAGCTGGGCATGGTGGCATGCACCTGTTGTCCAGGAGGCTGAGGTGGGAGGACCGTTTGAGCCAGAAGGCAGAGGTTGCAATGAGCCACAATCATGCCACTACATTCCAGCCTGGACAACAGAAGGAGACCCTATCTCAAGAAAACAAAATAAAATGATTTAAGCAATAGTGGAATTTTTGTTAGTAAACAGATAATGTGAAAAGCAAAATAAAAGCTAAGCTAAGACCTTGATAATAATTTAATTCAAACCATATAGTCTCTGCCTCTATCCCACATCCCTATATCCTTGCTTCCCTGACCCCAAAAAGTTGTCATATCCAACCATGTTCATGATTCCCTTACTTTTCATGTTTTTTGTGTTTATATATAATCCTTAAACTTTTATTTTTAATTTTTATTTAATTTAATTTTGTTTTATTTTATTGTATTTTTGAGACAGAGTCTTGCTCTTGTTGCCCAGGCTGGAGTGCAGTGGCGCAATTGTGGCTCAATGCAAACTCTGCCTCCTGGGTTCAAGTGATTCTCCAGCCTCAGTCTCCCAAGTAGCTGGGACTACAGGTATGCAACACCACACCCAGCTAATTTTTGTATTTTTAATAGCGACAGGGTTTCACCATGTTGGCCAGGCTGGTCTCAAACTCCTGACCTCAGGTGATCCGCCCACCTTGGCCTCCCAAAGTGCTGGGATTACAGGCGTGAGCCAATGCCCCCAGCCTTTTATTTCAATTTTAAAGGATATTTTGGTTTTATAAAAATAGAGTATCAAAATGAATAAGACTTTAAAGCACTTACTTTTTTCACTTAATATTATACTATGGTCTCATCACAACATTATGTCTTTGGGGTTTACTCTGCTGCATACAGCATTTTGTTGTTGTGTAAATATATCGTAGTTGCTCATTTGTTTGTTTGTTTTAAATCTATTCTCCCACTCATGGGTACTTGGGTTGTTTCTGGATTTTAGCTACTGTGAATAATGCTGCTATTAACATTTGTATACATGCCTCCTGTTGTAGATGCAAAAGATATTCCTCTAAGTATATCTTCTGAGTATAACCCTAAGTGAACTGCAGAGTTATATGCATATTAAACCTCATGGGATAATGCAAAATGTAAGCTAAAGTGGTTGCACCAATTTGTTCTCTTTCAGCAACATATAAAAAGATCCTCTTAATTGTGCTAATGGAATTGGTGTGAAAAGACTTCTTACAATGGTCCTAATTTACCTTTCCCTAATTACTAATAATGTTGAATATCTCTTCATATAATTATTGACCATGTGAGTATCATTTCTTGTAAAGTACCTAATCATGCGTTTTGCCTACCTTCATACTAAGTTTTTATGCTTTTCTTATTGATTTATGGAGTTCTTTATATATTCTTGACATAATCTGTTTCATTGGGTGTATTGTGAATATCTTCTTCCACTTTGTCACTTTATTTAAGGTTTTTTTGAATTCTAAAAAGAGTCCAATTTATTAGTCTTTTTATAACCAACACTTTTTGCATCTCAAGAAACTTTTCTCTATTCCCAAGATCTATAAGCTATTCACCAATATTTTCTATTAAGAGCTGTTAATTTTTTGTTTTGTCATTTAAGTCCTTAATCCATCTGGAATTTATTCCTCTACATAATAAGAAGTAGAGTTTTCATTGGCATTTCTCTTAAAGCTAAGAATATTTAAAATCAGCTTTTAATCAAATTATCCCTAAATAAAAATATCCTTTTATAGAACAATCTGTGGACTTCCAGGTGGTCTGTAATTAACCTCTCATTAAATACAACTAGCAAACTAGACACAACATAGGAAACAACTATTTTTAGACCTGGACAACAGGCAGCTAAGAACTGTGATCCCTGAGAAAAGGGAAGCAAACAAGATGAGTGCTCCTATCATCTCAGCTTTCTGCCTGGAGGTAAATCCCAAACTGCAGCTGAATAGAGTTTGGCAACTTCACTGAGTTGAATAAACAAAGACTGAAGTTCAAGGAGCCCAAAGCAGCTAGAATTTGCAGGGCTTAGCATGCAAGGGGGAGCTAAAGCCAAGACACAGTTCCAGAAATCTGTATTAAGTCCCCTTGAATTTTGACTGAATAACAATCTAAGGAAAGAACTATTATCAGTGGGGAGCGGTAAATAAACAATTCCCAGAATTCACACGGGTTATGGAATCATTCAACTTCCCTTGAGCCAGAATAAAGAGACCTCCCTAAATCTGCATGAAATTCAGAAGGAACTCAAAAAGACCATGCTTTAGGAGTTAAGCTAAATTAGTTCTAGAGTAAAAGGTATTCTAAACTACTCAAAAAGAGCTTAAAAGCAAAGCTAAAAAGGATCAAAGTAATTTGTAAGTAACTTAACTGTATGGCAGAAAAAAAAAGAAATCCAACACTCTACTCTTTAAAGAAATACAACAAAATCTAGCACCTAATAACATTGCATTCACAATATCCAACATCCAATCAAAAATTACTAGACATATAAAGAAGCATGAAAATTTGACCTATAACCAGGATAAAAATTAAGTCAGTAAAAACAGGCTCAGAAGTTACCAAGACAAAAGACAAGGACATGAAGCAGCTATCATGTATTAAGAAGTGGGATTAAGAAGTGTATTAAAAAGTGGGATCTGTAAGAGGTAACTAGACTATAGTGGCAAAACTCTCATGATTAATGTCATTATTGAGGCAGTGGGTTATTTATCCGAGGAGTTTGGCCCCCCTTTTCTGTCTCACATGCACTTCCTCACCATGGAATTCCTTCCTCCATGTTATAACACAACAAAAAAGGCCTTCACCAGATGTGGCCCCTTCATATTAGACTTCCCAGGTTCTAGAACTGTGAGCCACATAAATCTCTTTTCTTTATAAATTACCTACAATCTGTGTTATTCTGTTAAAGCAGCAAAAATAGGCTAAGACAGGCAGCAAATCCTCTCATCCATAGGGCACAGGTGAAGATCCACTTCTTCTGAGGAAGGAGTAAAAGTAAAATACTCTATACTCCTGGGGAGAGGCAGGAAACCATATTAGGCCCAGGTTCCTATACTGTTACCAAGCAGAGGTCTGCTATAGTTGAGGGAGGGACAGGAAACTCTTTCCCAAGACTAACCACAGATACAAGGCAGAGTTTGGCTGCAATAAGAAGGAAGGACAAAAGAACTAAGACACAGAGACGCAGACTCTGCTTAAGACTAAGGTTGAACCACGTATCTTACCTCTACCATGGGTCTAGCCCAAGTAAAAAGCAAGAGCAGTCTCCCGTAGCAGAGGGGTAAGAATGTAAAGAGAGAATTTGTCTGTGGTACTGGTATGCACAGGTGGTTGAAAGCCTGAGGACAAAACACTGAAAAAAACCTTCCAGGCTGGGCACAGTGGCTCATGTCTATAATCCCAGCACTTTGGGAGGCCAAGGCAGGAGGATCGCTTGAGCCCAGGAGTTTGAGAACAGCTTGGGCAAAATAGTGGGGCCCTGTCTCTACAAAAAGTATAAAAAAAAAATTAGCCAGGTGTGGTGGCGTGTGCTTGTGGTCCCAGCTATTTGGTAGGCTGAGGCAGGAGGAATGCTTAAGCCCGGAAGTAAAGGCTGCAGAGAGCCATTACTGTACAACCACACTCCAGTCTGAATGACAGAGTGACACCTTGTCTAAAAAAAAAACCTCAAAAACAAAACAAAAAATAAATATTTAAAAACCTCCAGAACCCCAGCACAAGGTAATAGCAACCCATTGCTAGAGAAACTTGAGGTCTATGGCACAGTAAAGGTAATGATAGCCATAACAAAATCCAAACCCAGCTTAACTGACTAAATTACCTAACAGAAGAGTATTGCCCATTTCCAAGTTCAAACACTATTTACTTCAGTCATCTCTACTATTATTCTACACATGACACTTGGCATTCAGTTAAATATTACAGGACAAAAATGCAAGAAAAAAAATAAACCCCAACATTACGTGAAGAGATAAAACAGTCTCAGAGATGATCCAGTCATTGAAATTATCAGGCAGTATATTACTAGACTAACAGTGATTAATATGCTAAAGATCTCATGCAACAGGAAAAGGCGAAAAACATAAACAAACAGATGGGAATTGGGGAATTTCAGCAGGTATG